TATATATATATATATATATATATAATAATGCCGCCATTGTTATGACGAAAAAGTTCTTAGATGTGTTATCAATAAAAATATTGAATCAACTTGTGGCTACTGAAACGTGTCTTGATATTGATTACCATCTAACCACCACCACACGGAGAATCTATATGTTCTCACAATGAGATATCGTTCATCATCCCGATTCGCTTCTGTTACAAGCATGGTAATCAAGACATCTGATGGCATATAATTAAAACACTGATAAAATAACCTTAACCAGGAAGAAGGTATTTATTCGGGTCTGTCTAGGACAGCAGATGATAGACTCAAAATATATTTCTAATCGTTTCCTCATACTTTTATATGTATATTCGTGAATGTTTTCGTATAGTTCTATTGTTTTTTCATCAAAAACAAAATTTTAAAAATGTTCTTTTACCTTGAGTTTTTTTATCTCATGATAAAAACACGTCATTTGACTAAGAAGTGATATTACAGCACGTGTTTAATTAGTTTTAAATGTGACGAAATAGCTACTCTAGAAATATAACTCGTTTCATGTAATTATAACTTACATATCTAATTAACATACACAAATTCAAATGAACACTTCTTTGCTATTGGTTAACGTGCCACATTCTTTCTTTTTAATATTTATTTTGATACAGAGACTTAAATTCGACAAAAAGGGGGACAAGAGTCATAAATAATATACTGTCGCACATAATACACAGGTAATATATATATTCTATATTTTCCAAGGCTTGCATAAGAATCTATAAAATGTATAATGCCCTGGTTGAATTTATTAAGTTTAACAGACGAGATGAAAATCGTGCTGTAATGCAGATATTTATTGAATGAAAGGCCTCCTGGTTGTGCCTTGTGAAGAGGCGGACAAGATATAGATCTGATATCCGTAACAGAGTAACTTAAATCAACGCGTTAAAAAATCTACAGTTAATTGTAATCCTTATTTTATTATATTTGTTAGACCTGATGAAATGTCTATCTACTAGGAAAGAAAGCTTTGTTGGATGCTATTACGTAACCACCAAAGACGTTGTTCCTACATTACATACAATCCACCACTGATGTGGCTCCGACATAACATACAATCTAACACTAACATGGTTCCTACATAACATACAATCCATCACTAACATGGTTCTTACATAACATACGGTCCATCACTAACATGGTTCCTACATAACACACAATCCATCACTAACATGGTTCCTACATAACATACAATCCATCACTAACATGGTTCCTACATAACATACAATCCATCACTAACATGGTTCCTACATAACATACAATCCATCACTAACATGATATGTTATGTAGGAAATTGCCATCACTAACATGGCTCCTACATAACATACAATCCATCACTAACATGGTTCCTACATAACATACAATCCATCACTAACATGGTTCCTACATAACATACAATCCATCACTATCATGGTTCCT